ATGAAGTGTTATGTCATGTGATCTTCTAGATCACTTGCCTCCTTATTATGATCACTTTGATCATTTGCTCATCTTCTTTATCAAGAAGCTATTTGAAACCGATTTGTCTATATGCTTTAAGCGTACCATAGACTTTGTCCTTCTAGGACTTAATATAAGCAATTCCAATGAGAATATAGTTACTTTCTTTGGGTAAGCAAATGCGTCTGACATGCTTTGCAATATATTGCAAATGAATTATCTTTTTATGAACTTCAAGTTCATATTATCTTATTCGAGGATCTAAATGTACAAATGATAATTCATTCCACATAACTTTTTCTCAACTGTTTATCATGTCTCCCCCTCATGTTAGAAAAACTAACTTGCTTCCTCAATTTTGGGAACCCATCTTTGTGCGTTATAGTCTTAATTAATATATACACCGCACATCAATAATAATAAGATGAAATTATTTGGTTCCTGACCCCGAATCACTTGCGAGGGGAGAATGTAATATACTTTCGTATATGACCTATATCAAACTGATATAGATAACTTTGTTCCCATCAACAATAATTTAGCTATTAAGTGGAGGCACTCAATAAATTATTTTGCTAAACTAGCTGTGATATAAACCAATTTATCAAGATGAACTTCTTGAATAGAAAATCTGGAAATTATGCTCGAAATTAAACTATTGAGCAAGTTACCTCGCAATATACCATGTTGCGAGTTAATAATAATTGCACATATAACCATCTCATAAATACATCTTATGTGGTATACATGGCAGGTGAATGAGCCCATATTCACCTTTGATATTTTTAGAATTCATGGGATTCAATCTCAACTTTAGTCGGTCAATTAATTAATGAGAATAACCAATATAAGAGAATTCGTAAAGAACTTTCTAGTTCTATAATATTTACCCATGTGAATTCTCTATTATTTTTGCACATCATACTTAAATTGATATGGCTAAACCAGCTATGCCAACTCGATATCAATAAACTCCAAATTTATTATGATATGGGGTTTTATATCAATAAAGTTCTACTTTATTGTGGCATTCTTTTATTTGTGTAGTACAAACTGGAGAATAAAACGGGTAACTTTTCATATAAATATTATCCCGCTACAAGTTGTAGTAATAGAAGATATTAAATCTTCCTTTATTTATAGTCTCAATATAACCAACCGCTTTCGCGAATACTTTAGAAATTGAATAAGTTTCTTTGAGACTTACTACAATACAATACCTTATTGGTAATCAATTGTGTTTCTCCAAAATAGTATAATTGGCTCTTCCAGAGCTCTCAATTAATTTTGTACTACCACATATTCATCAACATTCAAATGGTCATATATCTCTTTCAAGGAGAAAGTTATACCATTATGGTCATGGTCAAAATTATATGCAAGATATGTTTCTTACATTATTGTTGTCCTTTAATAATCACATTGCCAAAATGTTTCGGCGTACAATAGGTATGTGACCAATGACCATTCATGCCATAATAATGATATTATTTTCTTATATCATCTTAAACCTCCTTCTAGAGGTGAGTATGGTATATTCACTACCACTAACACGTTCATATTCTTCCAAGAATGAATATGTATTCATAAATAAGATGTTGTCACATTGACATCATGAATGGACCATAATCATCTATATGTGCTTTATAAAATCTCATGTCAAATCGATGATAAACATTACTTTCACAAAGTGAAGGATTATTTTTAGAATTCTTATTATTCGCATTACTCAATAATGACGATTATAATTTATTCGTTTATTGCCACGTCCACATCCATTGATACATTCATAGTAGTAATTTTGTCTTCTTTCAGACTTATCACATACTGCTATCACATTCTCTAAAGGGTATGAGAATGGAGCAAATTCAATGGGACGGGTTTTCAATTCTTTGCCCACAATCATACATGAATTTGATCATGGCAAGGCATAGAAATTTTACCACTTTGGGTGGTTATAATTTCTTTCAAACTCCATTAGAGTTGCAATCAAAATTTATCGTCTTTGCTTGTATTTAAAATCAAAGTATAGAATGTCAAGAATTTGAAAGAGAAAAGTAAAATATTTACCTTAAATCCAGAATTTAATCATGAAGGAAGTTCAAAGAGCAATTGACAATCATTATGTTCAATCCCAAAGCTTCTACTCAATTGGTTAGAGTCTCGTGCTGATAACGTGTTATGAAACAATAAAAGAAGAAGAGTATTGCAGAACAAAGTAGAGAGAGAATTCTTATTGATATTGGGATGAATTACAATGGAATAGAACCCTCTATTTATAGGGAGAGAGTGACTTAGCCACCAAGTAATAAACCTTAGAATTTCTCTAAATATGGACATTCTCCATAAATAAAATTCTATTTATAACAGAATAAAACCTTTTCTTTTTTTCCTTTTTTTTAGGTCGTCTTTAGTATATTACTTTAGCCAGGGAAGTGCGATACGTTGCGAGTGTATAATAAGAAGGTTAGAAACTTAGAATCATCTTTATTAATCATAAGTTTTTAAGTTTAGAGGCTTGAAAATGAGATTTTTTTAATAAAAATGTATAATTTGTATCGGATCAGTCAAAGAGAAGCAACCGAAAAACTTTTTAGGGGTTTTGATAAAAGAGACTGTTGTTTTTATTCTGCACATGTTAGATCTTAAATTTGTTGTTGTTGTTTTATTTTAAAAGAGGATTCCAATTGCGTTAAACTTTTCATTTTTTGAATAGTATAAAATATCCATAAATACGATCAAACATTTGTTCCAGATCAACATCTTCTGAAGAATTATTAAAATCCTGATCATGAATGTTTGTAATCCATATTATGCAAGGAGACATTATTTTGCTGATTCGGATTGAAAGTTGATAAAAAAATCGATCAATTTCTGCCAACTATTCCCTAAATAGGCAATTTGTGTTATTTCATAATTGAATTAATTTAGTTTTTTTTCTAAAACCTAGAGTTAAGGATTTGCCAACAGGTAATATTGCATCAATGCCAATCAAAGGGCAACTACCGTGCCAATAATAAAAAACAATCATCTCCACTAAACGACATATATAATTAAGGAAGAAAAAATAATACCAACATATTATATGAGGTAAAGTAAAATAGACGAAGTGGGAGGACATATATTATAACAAGAAGCAAGAAAGAGCTCGTGGATCAAACGTCGCAAATTTTTCTATAAATTTCAAACTTCAAGCAATCAAGTTCAAATTCAAGAAATCAAGTTCAAGCTCAAGAAAGAAGAATAAATCAAGTTCAAGCTCAAGAACGAAAAACAAATCAACATTCAAGGAGTATGAGTTCAAATCAAAGTTCGTGCTAGTTGAATTCAAGATCATCGTTCGTGACAACAAATATAGATTCAAGAGCTTCGTCGAAAGTTTTTCATAATCTGTATGTATAAATAATATATAAAAGTAAAATATTAGGTATAAAAAATGACACCGCTTGTTGTTACAGTAATTTATTTATTTGTTCACTTCTTCAAAAATTTGATACCAGTTGCGAAAATTCATGCGTACGCCACTGATATTACGTATCTTACCCCCATTAGTATGTTTTCACCTTCTAACAGCTGCATTCCGAATCTTTTGATTTATTTAAGTACAGAATCTTACTTAAATATGAACCTCAAAATCTGCTCTTGCTTGGGACGCCCAACAAAAAGAACAAAGAATACTTACTCTACTAATACATTAAGCTTCAGATGCTGTAATCAGTTATAAAGTATATATGTGCAAAACTGAAAACAAGAATTAAGCAAATGCCTTGCGAAGTGCAACTTTGAGCTCTATGTAGTACTTAAACTTCAGTGTAACTATTTTAACTCTTTTAAGAACACAGCCATAGGGATCTCCTTAGTTAAAGTCTGTTATCTCAAAAACGCGCGCTGTTCCATCCATAGAGGCAGAAACAAGGTACTCCCCATTGGACGATGCAGCAATAGACTGAATCGCACCAGTGTGTCCATTAAAGGTCCTCACACATTCTCCAGAACGGCTATCCCATATCCGCACTTTCCCATCAACACAACCTGTTGCCACATATTTAGATTGCCCCAGCCACAATAAGCATGTCACGCCATCCTAAACAAAGTTATTGTCAGCGAATGGCACACAAAAAAATTGTGGTTTAGAGCAAATGGATGTTCAACTGCATGTAAAGATACAGAAATATACAGTTGGAGCACAAGAAAGTTCAAACCTCATGTTCACATATGGAGCGAGGTGAGGAGCGCTGCAAGTCCCAAATAATGAGCTTATTATCCATGCCTCCAGTTGCAGCCCAAGGAGCGCTGAAAGTCATTTCACATGATGGAAGTATTTTAAATCACCAAATATTAATTTAGCAAACCCAAAAATTACTAATAGAGAGAGGAACATTCAAGGCATGTAACTCATGTCAATCAATCAGGATCCGATGGAAGGCAAAGGGATTTGAACTTCAGAGAGCGAGATTAGCTGAACTATTGAAATTGATATAAAGCCTTACATACTATGTTTATCCCTAAGTCATCTATTTAAGAGGTACACCCTTGTCTAAGTCTTTTCATCCTGTTCTTGTCTCCAAATAGTCCATGCGATGGCTACAGAGCCAACCTTAAACCCATCCTATGGGAAGAGACTTTCATACAAAAAGTATGCTTGTAGTATGCTCAGGAAGAATGGTCCTCAGGGGTTACTATCAAAGCTTATCTCAAAGCAATCTAGAGTCACATAGAAGAAACAAGGGCATAATAACAATCAATGCTGACGTTTATGCCTGCTTTACGAAGCTGTCTAAGCAGGATGTTCTCATTTGAAACCACAATCTGTTACTTAGACAATTAGCAATCCTCTCCCGCAAAATACAACACAAAGACTGCAAAACATCTGAATGCAGCAAACCAAATCCGCACTAAAACAATTTTATGCCCACAAAAGATCCTCACATAAATTAATAGATGACTGCTTAGGCACAGTTGATACTGAAGGTGCATCAAAGTGTTCTTTTAAATGTTCTTAACCAATAAATCTGATATGTTATCCTAGACTATATCAACATAACTACTGACTCTTCAGTTAAATCATCTTCAGGCTTGCTAACAACATCTGGTTCCTTTTCTAGCAATTTGACAATACGACAGTCAAGTCTTCAGTGGTCAAGGCACATTCACATGCATATGGTTTAGTTGTTGCACATTTTTTTCCAATCCATATCCTCCGCGCTCTTTCAAATCAAAGGCACTCAAAGGCTAAAATATAAGGATAGAAAGAAAGATGTCAGATGTAGATAAAACCTTGCTGAAAAGCCGACACATTCTATTGAATCTGTATGAGCACTCAGAGAAGTGACAACCTGACATAGAAAATATTAAATCAGCGATAAGCCAAACTGCCCCTAAGGTCAGGAAGCATCAATTACAGAAAAAACCACTGTGAAAAATGGGAAGTGTAAAGTATCATCAATTGAAATTTCTGACCCTTCCAGTAGTTATATTCACAATGTGAGCCGAGCCATCCTTTGAGCCTGTGAGAACAAGAGTTGAATCCACATTGATCGTCAAGCATGTCAGTCCTTCCATGTGATACGGATGACCTTGTAACAATGAATAAACATTTTTTTTAAAACAATAAACGATAATAATAGGACCAGATCTGAGAAATCATGTATTAATTCAGAAAAAAGTAGTTTCTCTAATAAAGACAAACGTTGTGACTGGAAATCTCGCCACTGATAAGAGTGCTAATATCATTTCTTGGAATGGAAGTACAGAGAGCAGCTCAACATAACATAATGAAAGGAAAGAAACAAGCAAGACATTGATCAGAATAGATAATAAGGTCCTTGAGGATGAAAGAAGAGAAACTCTAACTTAGTAATATGCCGTACTAACAAATGCTTCAATCCACAGTTTTTATCCAGCATTTTATATCTCTGCCACATCCCCCGAAATATGGGAACACATTTTGTTACGATAGCCAGAAAGCCTTATATTTGTAGCCCCCAACCCTGCTTTCTGTGTATTTTTTTTTTTGGGGGGGGGGGG